TTTACTCTTGAAATGAAAGTAATATCAAAAGTTTAAAAGAGTGAATCTCTCCATTTTTATTTCTCAAATGCTGTTGTAAAATATAATTTCTTATTTTATATTTATTAAGTTGGATCAAAATTAAATATATAAAAAAATGTTAAATAATAGAAAATTATATTTGATAAAAGAAATTGAGAGAAAGAAATTGAGAGGAAAAAATTGAGAAGATTCATTCCTCAAAACTCAATAGCAAATTCAGAGCTCACAAAAGATTAGTCTTTCATTCTTTGATTCGTTGAGTTGAAGAATTACAAACTGATTTCCAAACATTTTTGTAAAAGAATTAGTGAAAACAATAACTGACTGTTGAATAAAATCCAGGTGAATCCACAGATTCCGATTCAATTTTGAGTTACCGAAAATGCCACTACTTCCTACTACTTAAAAAATAGCAACGGTGAAAAAGAGAAAGTTGCCCATTGGAAGGGTGGCAATTACACGGAAACCACTCAAGAGTATGTGTACCCTGATTAACGTGTTAAGCAACAGCAGCAATAAGGTAATTTTCGACCTTCTCAAAAAGATAAAGAAAAAGTCGTGGTCCCAGTCGAGAAGAGTTGAAGACCGTTACAATTCAGGCAACTATTTTATCAACGGTTATGGTCAAAACTCCAAACACACGTATACGGTCCTGATTCAACTAAAACTAAGCCCATTTCATTGCGTTTGGGGCTCGTCTCACTATTATAAGGTTCTTTTCTTCCCCTTTTTCGGATTGTAAGGTTTATTTAAATGAAAATAAAGGAGAGTTAAAATGTGAATATTTGATATATTAAATAAGAATTTAATTTTAATACAGTATTATATCACTAAAAATAACTAAGTTTTATATCAAATATAATCATTTAGAAACAGATATAATTAAATAATTATATGAAATGTTTTTTTTTGGTTTTATTGATAAAATATTTTACTTTACACATCAAAATTAAGGATTTTTTTTTAAATAAATAAAAAAAATTCTAAATTTACACATATGAGTATGGATACACAAATTTACGAAAATAAGTCTTTTTTACTTATCTCGGGATCAGTGACCTCAATCCAAAATGAGATTTGCATGACCCCGAGATACATAAAAAATGAAATTTTGACCCTATCTCGACGTCAGATATATGCTAATGCACGTTGTAATTTTCAGAGCCAAAGATCACATAGAAATTGGACAACAACTATTAATTGAATTTTGCCAACGCCTTCCACTTAATAAGCACCATCATATACCCAATTAAAGTAATCTCGACACACATGAAATTAATGTTTATCTATTTTTGCTAGGCAGGGCAGAATAAAACTATATATCTTTTTTCATTTTCTAAATAATTTATAATCGTTTCTTTTATTTTTGATTAAATATATTAATTTTAAATTAATAAAACAACAACACTAACTAACTAATAAAAATTCAACCAACAACTTAAATTTGATACTCTATTCCTTACTTTAAGTTTCGGACGTTCTGTTTTTTTTTTTAAATACAAAATTGGCTAACGGTCGCTCAAGGTTTTGGATGTTCTATAACTTTTAATTAAATTTAAGTTTTAGGCCTCCTAATCATTTTTCAACAATAATTATGGATGTTTTATTTTTTATTAACTAATTTATTGGTTAAAAAATTATTAATTACCTATATATAATTCATTTAAAGAATGATAACAAATTATAAACAAAAATGTAGAACGTATTTTAATTTTCACTAACATAATATATATGATATTTTTTGTGTAATCTAATAGAGTTTTATATAAATAACTATTGAATACTAAAAAAGGATTATTTAGATGGAGTAATTTGCATGTCATGCAGTGTCATTTGCTTTTAATGGATTTTCACAAAAGTTGAGTGTATCTCTGGGTCAGACCTGAGATAGTGTCAAAATTTCGTTTTTTTATATCTTGAGGTTATTGATTTTGAAATACGGGTAAATTTTATTCTAGAATCACTGATCCCGAGATAAGTAAAGAGGGTTTATTTTCGTAAATTCGTGTACCTATACTCATATGTGTAAATTTGGAATTTTTTTTATGTATTTAAAAAAAAATCCTCAAAATTAAACTAGTAAATAATTCAAGTATTAATAGAAAAAATAATTTATGTATATTCACATCAACGTATTAAAATATTCTTGTTAACACCGAGAGATATCAATAATGCTACGGAACCAAATATTAAAATTATTTGATATTTTTTAATAAAAAACACTAAAAATAATATTTTTCTATATTTTAGTATTTTACCCAAAATATCCAATATATAATTAATATCAGATTTTTTTCTGACCCGGAATAATTAATATTAGCTTGAATTGGAACCTAGAAAAGAATTAATCTTGGTGTACACATCCAACCAAGTCTTAAACGAACAGATTTTTACTACTAGAACGAACAGATTTTTTAAAGCAAACGAACAGATTTTTAACATGTTCGTGTCAACTATAAAATATGTTCGTTGTATATATAGATTTCTGTTCGTGTACGAACAAAATTTTACTACTAGAACGAACAGATTTTTAAAAGCAAACGAACAAATTTTAAAATCCGTTAGTGTAAACTATGAAAACATGTTCGTTGTATATATAAAAATCTGTTCGTTTGGGACTTGGTTGGAGGTGTACACCAAAAAGAGGTGTATATGTAGCATTACCTAGTAGAAAATAGGAATATTAAACCAATAAACCCGACCCGAATATTTTTAGAGGGGATGGAATTGAGATTTCCTAATCCCTTCACGCGGCCCTAGCTCCCCTCCTTTACTATAAATTCTGCTGTACGCCTCTCTCTTCTTCGCAGTTATCATTCACTGTTTCGCACTCACAAACCTTCTTCTAGAAAATTCTATATCTTCTCTCTTTGAATATGGCTCGATCTGGAACTCTGATCGCGATATTGATAGCAATGTGCGTGCTTTCAGCCGCCGTTTCAATATCTCAGGCGGCGTCTCCGAATGATCATAAAGCTGCCACTCCGAAATCCTCGTCACCTGCGCATGCACCATCTCCCTCATCAACGCAAGCTCATCATGCTCATTCTCCTGCTCCTGCTCCTGGACCGGCTCATCATAGTGACGCCGCGTCGATTGGTTTCTCCGCCGCAGGATCTCTCGCCGTTGGTCTCGTCGCTGCCATGTTGATTATGTAAAGTGTCGCGCGCCGCCATTTCGATTATAATTTTATATTTATAATAATAATAGTAATTATTTTACTATAATTTTTTTTAAAACTTTTGAGTTAGCTTTGTTTGTTCGTTTATTATTTAGTTTTAATTTTATTTTTAATATTTGTATGGATCGGAGCATTGATATGAGTTTTTTGCATTGTACTGTGCTAAACGCTTTCGCTCCGCCGTCTTATGACATAGTTATTAATATATATACTTAATAATAGGAGTCACTTTTCTCAGGATTACTGAAATTTTAATAAAATGGAGAAGTGACTCATTATGTTGAAACGAAAACGATGAGAATGACGTGAACGCCAAATTGGTAATTTCGGTAAGGATAATGCTATTTGAATAAGTGATTTTAGCTAAGTAAGTACAATTAAGTGATTTATTTTTATGCTAAATAAAATATTATTTTAATGTCAAATAATATAAAAAAATGTGTTTAAATAATGTTCTATTTGATACAAAAATAATCTTCTATTTAACATAAAAATTAATCATTTAATTATACTATGTAATAGCCAAAATCACTTATTTAAATGGAATCATTGTATTGGTAATATGAAATTATGAATACACTATTTATGATATTAATTGACTTTACTTTTTGTCTTATTTAAGAAAAAATACTTAATTACTATATCATGTTATGTTATAAACTGTAGTTATTGAGTCTACATCTTAATGGTTAAGTCTTTTATATTTTATTCGAATTTAAAGCCATATATATAATCTACTTTTATTAAAAAAAATAAAAAAGTTATTGATGGAAAATGCATATGTTATATTTAGTAATTTATTCTAAAATAAAATACAAAAAATAATAAATATTTAAAAAATTCAAAATTTATTTTATACCTAATCACTACTTAAGTCACCAATATAAGATGCATATTAAAAATAAATCAAACAATATACTAGTTGAATTTTACATGCAAATAATATTTATATTAAAGAATTGAATTTTTATGCACCGTAGTGTAAAAGAGTTTTACACATATATCCAATCAAATATTACCACATCATCAAGATCAATTAATATTCAAGCCCATTACTTCTAAAATTAAATAAATGCATAAATCTGATTAGATGACTGTGTAAAACTCTTTACACCGTCAGTATATTAAAATTAAACTCTATATTAAATGAATATCTGATATTAGTAAATGGTAATATATAATAGACACACACAAAAATGGTAATATATAATTAATACATTAAATACAGATTGAGCATGATTATGAGCAACCCTGCTTCTCCTGACATATATCCGTATTTTTTTTGTGTATGTATATACCTCATACCTGTTACATCAACCATATACTTTCTAGGTTTCTGAGGTAGGCATGACCCTGTCGATGTTTATGGAGATATAAATAGAACAGATTTTATGCGAGGTAGAGAAAAATGAAGTGATTGACCCTTTCAAAGGTGTTGCTTTCCAATTCCTAGTTTAAGGTAAACAAATCTCAGCTATATGTGTGTACATTGTAAGGGTTGCTTTCTAATGAAATAATGCATTATGTCAAAATGTTGCATGCGGTGGAAGTTGTTGGTAACTCCAAGCAAAGGTTTGGCCAAAAGAAAGAACGGAACTGCACGTTAAGTACTTGATGAATTCACTTCTAATAATAAGCTTCAGCCTTTGAAGGCAAATCTCACTATTTTCTTTTGTTTATTTTTCCCCCCACGTGCAGCTTCTGCTCTTGTTTGTTACATATTTATTTTAACAAAGTTCTCAACTTGATTCATTTCTTCCATATTTAAAAAATAAAAGACAATAAATTTGCATCATCATCCGTTGTCGTCAAGCGGTTAGGATATTTGGCTTTCACCCAGGAGTCCCGGGTTTGATTCCCAGCAACGGAAGCATTATTTTTCAACCTTTTTTGTATGACCATGGATGATATTGGGCTTTTTTTTTTAACACTGAATATTGGGCTATATGGCTGATTTTATGATTTTTATCAAATTAGTTAACTTCAAACCCAAAAAAAAAATCAATCTAGTTGACTTCCAAGTAAGTAATTTTTCACTGCTACAATAAAACCGGGTTCATCAAATCTAAGCACTATTGTTGACTGAAAAGTAAGAAATTCAATAACACGTTTTTCAGTGGATACTATCGGTTTTCATATATAAGGCTGGTGTTTCTTGACATATACTAAAATTTACCCATTTTTAAGAGTTAGTATACTAGTATTATTCTTGAAGGTTGGTTGGGTTTGCATTCCAAATCAATAAGTTATTACCTGCTCTTTTGTTTAACAATAAAAAGAAAAGGAAAAAAAAGGACGACTAAAATAAAATATCACTCTACCGTCCTTGATTGCTAACAAATTTCTGAAGCTAAATATGGTGGCCCATGTGAGGCACTATGTTAGGTGGTTAAAGTTATGTTATTTGACAATGTCAGTATCAATAAGAGTACGATAGCTTATACAAATTTTTCCAGGAAATAAAATATATATAGATTATACTAGCCATATATTTTTCGTGGTAATTTTAGTGAACATTTTAACATTAATTTTGTGGTTGTAGCTAATTGATCTCGTATCGGATAAAGTATCGGGCCCAAGCCCACCGACCCTCCCATATAACACGCAAAATCCCAAATGAAAAAGAACCACGCGGAAAAAATAAAATAAGGAAGAAAGAAACAACTAATAGAACAATGTTCCAACAAATCAAATTTAATCAAATAAGTCAATTTATTCAATAATTATATTATCAAAAAACTATAATATTTAATAGTAATATACTCCTATGTAAATATAAAACTTAAACAAATGAAGTCTTCTATGTTATCTAATAAAAATGAATAAATTAAATTTCGTATATATAAAGTAAAACCAGTCTCTAATCTAAAATTTATCAAAGTGTTTTATTTGTTGGGCTTATTTCTCAAAGTATATTAAAATTGTCAAAAATGAATAAAATTATGTTTAGATAATATTAGATTAATTCAATTTAAATTGAGTTTTGTTTATGTTTTTAAATAAAAGCAACAATATAATTTTAAGATACATTTATTTTTCTTAATTAAGTTTAATTAATTAATTTATTTTTGTGTCAAATAAATATTATTTTGATTTCAAATAACACAAAAAAATATATAAAATGATTTAAAATAATATTTTATTTAATATAGAATAAATAATTTGGTTGAATAAAATAGGTATAATCTGAAATGATAATGCTATGTATCCGGTTATTTTGTCCAACTAAGTCTAATTAAGTCATTAATTTTTATACTAAATAAAAAATAATTTTAATATCAATTAATACAAAAAATTACTATATAAATAATTTTTTATTTAATATTAAAATAATTCTATTTATAATAAAAATAAATAACTTGATTAATTAGAATTAATTTAAAAAATAGGTATATATTTAAAATATTATTATTTCATTATAAATATAATCTTAAAAAATTTTGCATGTTCATTCTATTAGTTGCCAAAATTATTGATAATATTCAAAAACAAACTACATCTTCCAAAGGCATGATCCAAATTCCAAATAAAACCTAACTTATTATAATCCATGTGGATGTGGATGTGATGAATTATGAAGTAAGTAAGTCTTTGTGTGTGTGAAAAGTATAAAGCCACAAAGTCAAACTTGGAGACCAAACTTCACCATCCACCACCACCTCCTCTTTCAATGCTGATGCTCATATTTCTTCATTCTCTCTCTCTCCTTCTCCTTCAACACTTTAAACCCTAACTAACTAAATCAAACAACCACCTCAGAAATGGTGCTTCACCATGGCAGAAAACTCATGCCAGAAATCTGCGAATCCATCTGCCACGTGGACCAGAACTGTTCTTCCTCAGACTGTGATGGCTGCCTCAAGCTCTGCCTCACCAACCCCCAATACTACTACTATTATTCCCAACCACCGCCACCTATTCCTCCTCTCCCTCTAGACGACACCTCAAGCAATGGAACCTCCCACGCGCTCTCGCCGTACCTCGTCCTCGCTCTCTCCGTTCTCGGAGCTGCTTTCTTCGTCGTTATCTGCTGCGCAATCTTCGCCACTCTCTTCCGAAGGAGGAGAAGATCAAGATCGTCATCGCTGCTACTTCGAACACAGAATACGCGTGACGACGATTTCTTCGTCGATGAGGAGCACGGTCCTATGGTGGACCACCCGATCTGGTACATCCGTACACCCGGTCTTCAAGAATCGATCATCAACGCAATCGCTGTTTGTAGGTATAAGAGAGGTGAGGGTTTGATCGAAGGAACAGAGTGCTCTGTTTGTTTGAGCGAGTTTCAAGAAGACGAGAGTGTTAGGCTTTTGCCGAAGTGTAACCACGCTTTTCATTTGCCTTGTATTGATACATGGCTTAGGTCTCACACCAATTGCCCCATGTGTAGAGCTCCAATTGTTTCCAATAACACTGTTAGGGTTCCTTCTATGCATCATCATAATCATAATCTTAATGTTCTTGATCCAATTTCAAGTTCTAGCTCAAGTTCAAGTTCAAGTTCCTTGGAGATGGGACCTCTGGAAAATATTAACAATGGAACAATTACAGGAATGGAAAATACTCAAAATAGTGGTTTTGAATTGAGGAATAGGGAAGAGCATGATGATGATGATGATGATGAAAGAGTAATAAGCATGATTAGGCCAAGAAGGTCTGTTTCTCTGGATTCATCTTCTGTTGCAGATATTGCACTTGCTGCAGCTGCATCTGCTCTGTCGACCGATTCGGATTCGAATAGAGTTGTTGGGGATGAGAATGAGAGTGAAGGAATTGGTTCAAAGAGGGTTAATGGAAATGAGAATGAGAATGTGGCAAGTAGTTCAAAAGGGAGAGGAGGGAGAGGGACAGGGAGAGAGAGAGGGAGAAGCTCTTCATTCAGGATAAGGTATCTGCATAGTGTTGTTCCTAGTTCAATGAAGAGGTCACGTTCCTACAATGGTAAATCCATTGTGTCTTCTTTGTATAGCCGCGGCCACACAAACAAGAAGCAAAATGCTACTAATAATATCAGAAGCTTTTAGAATTGTATGTATGCTGCTCTCAACAAGCTGAGAGTTTCAAGGTTTTTTTTTTGTTTTTGTTTTTGTTTTTATTCTTAATGTTGGCATCAAACAAAGTTATGTGATGCTCAATTGTGTAATAGAGAATCAATAAGTTGCAAATGAATATATTTGCTTAATTTTGCTGAGAAAACCAAAGCTGTCATTTATGATTGATTTATTCACATGAATTCATTATATCAGTCTTCTAAGGTCTATAGCCAAACTGCAATTAGGGCTTTACTTTGCTCAAGATTGATGATGGGAGTGTCATGCAATTAGGCAAGTAAATAGAATGAATCCAACTGAATACCTTACTTAAGATCCAGCATCCTATGTGATGGTAGTCTAGTCTTTAGTTCATCAAGAATATTTGATACTGCTACAAATTGAAGGTTTTCTTCACATGATGTGTAATCATAGTAGACTACTCTCTTGATTTAGATTTTCATGCAATCTTTGCTCATTGGTTTTTTAGTTGACTCCCTTCAATTACAAGTATTTCTTTTAGTAGTATCATAATCTTTTTAGACATTTAGTCATAAACTCATGATAATCAATAAGAACTACTTTTGGTGACCCTTCCTACAAAAGACCTTATTCATAATGGGTGATTGAACACTCATATTTATGCATGGTTATTAAAATTAATTTAAGATAAAGTAAAAAAAAAAGGAATATAAATACAAATGTGGTATTAAAAAAGAATTTTATTATTAGTGCATAGTATTTTATTTAATAGAGAAAAAATATTATATAAACAAATATATTTTACAGTTTTACCAAGCATCTTTAAAAAAAATAAACTCCAAAATTGTTCTTGAATAAATATTTTTTTTTTAAAAAAAGCTATAGAGTTAAACTGGAATAACGAGCTAACAGAATCAAGGTGAAGGAAGCAAACGCCTCCAATGGCGTGTCGCTCGCTGTTCTTCTCTCTCAGACGGTAATCCAAACTACGCTCTCACTTCTCGAAATTACACTTTGCAACTACGATTTGATGTTGTTAATTTCATGCTGACCCTATTTTCCAAATCAATGTATATCCCACTGATTGAATTCTCCAAAAACCCTCAGATTCGGAAAATCTCAAAGTTCCAAAATTTCTTCAATTTTCTTGCATTTTCTCGCTAACCAATCAGATTCAAATTGTTGGGTACTGATAGTTCTCAACTCACTCGCAATTATTGCAAATTTGTCATATCATGCAGAAACAGCAGCTATGTCAAGGGAGCAACAAACCTATCAAGATTTTCGTCCTCGGGGGCTGTTAACAGTGATGTGGCCATGGAAGAAGAGACTCATAGCTCTGTGGCCGAAGATGGTGATGACTTAAGGAGCAGAATCATGAGGTTAAGGCTCCCAAAGCGAAGCGCCACAAATATTATTCAAAAATGGGTCCTTGAAGGGAATACCATTACAGCTTCCGAGCTTCGGGATATATCCAAAGACCTTAGAAGATCTCAGCGCTACAAACATGCTCTTGAGGTTTGTAATTTGGTCTTTTCCTTTCTCATGGTGATTGGAATTTTTAATGATTTATATGGTTAACTTGCTAGTAGTATTAATTAGATAGTTGTTATGTAGTTAATTGTTCGTTTTTGTATAAATAAGGTTTAGAGCCTCAAATAATGGAGGGCAAATAATCATTTTGCAAAATAAGGTCAAGGATCCTTTTAGTTCATATCACTCAGCATCTCTTGAAATTTGGCAAATAGAGTAATATAGTTTAGGAGATTTGGAGTTTTTTAAGGTCTGTAAAGTTTCGGACTTTCGGGTGTTATAGTTGTGTTATGCTAATAATGGCTGAAATGAAGAACCCTATAGT